AGCGATTCAAATTCACTCCGATACTCTATCGAAAATTCCTTGCAAAACCAAAAAAATAGAGGCGAAAGATACCAAAGCGGTCTTGTATCAAACTGCCTGTCTTCTTGTAGTTGGATCCCCAATTTTTTGAAATGCTCCAAACTCTACTTGAGCATCCAAATCTGGGTCAATACCAGCAAAAACATCTCTGAACAAAGTTCTAGCACCATGCCAAATGTGTCCGAAGAAAAAAAGCAAAGCAAACGAAGCATGTCCAAAAGTAAACCAACCCCTTGGACTGCTACGAAAAACACCATCGGATTTCAAAGTCGCCCGATCTAATTCAAAAATTTCACCCAATTGAGCACGTCTAGCATATTTCTTGACGGTAGCAGGATCACTATAAGTGACTCCATTGAGTTCGCCACCATAGAACTCAACGGTTACACCCACCTGTTCAACACTATACTTCGATTCTGCTCTTCGAAAGGGGACATCGGCTCTAACAATTCCGTCGCCATCTACTAAAACGACTGGAAATGTTTCGAAAAAAGTAGGCATACGACGTACAAAAAGCTCACGCCCTTCTTTATCCCTAAAAATAGGGTGCCCTAACCATCCAACCGCTATTCCATCCCCGTTATCCATCGAACCCGCCCTGAATAATCCTCCTTTTGCCGGATTATTGCCAATATAATCGTAAAAAGCTAATTTTTCAGGAATTTTCGACCAGGCTTCTGATAAACTTTGATTTTCTGCTAGCCCGACGCTAACTCTTCGATAGATCTCTTGCTGGAAGTAACCCTGATCCCATTGATAACGAGTAGGACCAAATAATTCAATGGGGGTAGTTGCTGAACCATACCACATAGTTCCAGCAACAACAAAAGCTGCAAAAAAGACAGCCGCGATACTACTGGAGAGTACGGTTTCGATATTTCCCATGCGCAATCCTTTGTATAGACGTTGTGGCGGTCGAACGCTAAGATGGAATAGACCCGCTAATATGCCCAATGTACCTGCTGCAATATGATGAGAAGCTATTCCTCCCGGAACAAAAGGATCAAAACCTTCCACGCCCCACAACGGATTTACAGGTTGTACTTTTCCCGTTAATCCATAAGGATCGGACACCCAGATTCCAGGACCGTACAGGCCTGTTACATGAAATGCACCAAAACCAAAACAAGCCACCCCGGAGAGAAATAAATGAATTCCAAAGATCTTAGGTAAATCCAAAGAAGGTTTTCCTGTACGTTCATCGCAAAAAATTTCTAGATCCCAATAGACCCAATGCCAGATAGCTGCCAAAAAGCATAAGCCAGAAAACACAATATGTGCCCCAGCTACACCCTCGTAACTCCAAATCCCCGGATTTGTTACAGTCCCTCCTGTGATACTCCAACCTCCCCACGAATTGGTTATTCCTAAACGAGTCATGAAGGGTATAACGAACATACCCTGTCTCCACATTGGATCAAGAACAGGGTCAGAAGGATCAAAAACGGCTAATTCATACAGAGCCATCGAACCCGCCCAACCAGCAACCAGAGCTGTATGCATTATATGAACGGAAAGCAACCGGCCGGGATCATTCAATACAACGGTATGAACACGATACCAAGGCAAACCCATGGAAAATACCCCCTTATCAAAGAAAAATAGACACTACGTAACTTTATTGCATTGCAAAGACTGTAATACTATGATTATCCTATAGACTGCACTTCTTCAGTGGATTATTTACTAACAAGGGTTAAGTTAATATTTATTAACTTCTGTTCCTAATAATGGAAGAATTCTGTTCGTAGAAACAACGATAAGCAGATTTATTCTATACTCGATAAGTACCAATACGCAATGGGAGATTGATGCCAGTTTCTATGAGTAAATATGTCTATCCTTAATTTCTCATTAGGAAAACCTATTTGTAAAAATTTTCCTTTATTGATTTTGTCTTTCTTTCTGAATTTTTGAATCTTTGGATAAAAAAATATGATAAAGCCAATATTCGAAAATAGAGACAATAAAACCATATTATTACGTTTCCGCATCAAAGTGAAATTTAGTTCTTTTTTCTTTCAATTCATGCCTATTGGTGTTCCAAAAGTACCCTTCCGAATTCCTGGAGATGACGATGCATCTTGGGTTGACGTATAGTGGGACTTGTCAAATAGATTGGGTCATATGGTATTTCCCCGTTCTCGTCCCCGCCTCTATTTCGCCAAAAAAGAGAAATTGAATCATCCAAAAATTGGAGTGTGAAGTGCAATTCGATGCATTGTTTGGAGGAATTCATAGTTTTATTATCAATTAGAATGATTTATGGTTGGCTCTTGTTGGACTAAAAAATGAAGTATCCAGGCTCCGTTTAGAAAAAACCCAATTAGGAGCATATCTATAATTAGTGTATCATAAATGATTCCTGTTTGTTATTTCTAAAGTCATAACAAAAAGAAATGGTGATGAGAAGATTTGTCCTATATGTGCAAATCGAAATCGGCCGGATCTTTACCCGGAGTAGAGCATAAACCTAAAAAAATGAAATAGGCCCATTCAGGAACATGAAAACACCATCGTGATTTGGATTGAATCTCGATGAAACAATACATCAATGAGAAGTTAATTCAATAAGTTTATTAACTTTTTTCTATTCTAAGAAAGAAACTAAGTCAAAACTCGTCGTTATTGAAAAAAAGCCCTTTCGGTAGAAGTTCGAAAAAACCTGCTATTAAAAAGAATAGGAAAAAGGAAAGAGGACTAGAATTTATACATTGATTCTTTTTTTTTGAACCGTATGCATCAAAAGGTGCATGTACGGTTCCTAGGGGATGCAATTTTACCCCACTCAACCGACTTTATCAAGAAAGATTCCTTTTTTTAGGCCAAGAAGTTGATAGCGAGATCTCGAATCAACTTATTGGTCTTATGGTATATTTCAGTCTTGAGAATGCTGCCAAAGATTTCTATTTGTTTATAAACTCCCCTGGCGGGTGGGTAATAGATGGATTAGCTATTTATGATACTATGCAGTTTGTGCGCCCAGAGGTCCATACAATATGCATGGGACTAGCCGCGTCAATGGGATCTTTGCTCCTGGTTGGGGGAGCAATTACCAAACGTTTCGCATTCCCTCACGCTTGGCGCCAATGAGGTTTTTGATTTGAGAGAAAAAAGAAAACTATGCCTTCGCCATATGAATATTAAGTAATAATAGCATGGCACTTCGAATTCGATATGGAAAATTTTTGTATTGTTTTTTTTTTCAAAAGATTCAATTATGTATCGAGAGATTAGTATGAAATAAAAGGTATTTCCCATTTTCTCTTATTTATTGGGAAGCCAATTCAGCGTTACAAACCTTTTTGTTTTCACACCGAAGGGCTCTTAACAATATTTATGTTCTATAAAAAAGAGTGCGAAAAAAAAAAACAAGATTTTTCCTTTTTTGGTTGGATTAAAAAGAAACTTTGGGATTGCTCAATCAAAGACAAAAAAATCTATTTTGAAATAGAAAGCAACGGAGCCATCATAGTATTTTTGAACCCCTACGAAAGGAAGGGTGGCGTTTTGATCATTTACCCATCTAGGGCTTGGAGCTGATAGATTTTTTTCTATTTCTTGAATTTGAAGGGTCAATTTGATTGTAGAGCCGTATGCAATGCACAAAAGATGATGCCCGTACGGTTGCTCAATTCGATCTTTTTTTCCTATTATTCTTTATCCTTATTTCCTCTTCGTTTCATCACACCAGATAGAGAACCCTTCTATCATCAGGGTAATGATCCATCAACCCGCTAGTTCTTTTTATGAGGCGCAAACGGGGGAATTTATCTTGGAAGCGGAAGAACTGCTGAAACTACGCGAAACCATCACAAGGGTTTATGTACAAAGGACGGGCAAACCATTATGGGTTGTATCTGAAGACATGGAAAGAGACGTTTTTATGTCAGCAACAGAAGCCCAAGCTTATGGAATTATTGATTTTGTAGCAGTTCAATGACAAAAAAAGGGATTTTGTGAAAATCCGGGATTTGATATTTTATCTCCGGGTTTACTATTTTATTAATATTTTTTTAAATACAAATAATTTAGAATCACCCGGTTAGGATTAATCTAAACCTGCCCATTATGTATATGATTCAACATGCCTACTATTAAACAACTTATTAGAAATACAAGACAGCCGATTCGAAATGTCCCGAAATCCCCCGCTCTTCGGGGCTGTCCTCAGCGTCGAGGAACATGTACTAGGGTGTATGTGCGACTCGTTTCGATTATGAGCTGACGAAAAAAAAAAGAAAGAAAACCGATTTTCGGTATGTTGGGATGAATGATCAATACCAGTAAATAGGATAGAATAGAGGAAAGAACTCTATTCACTATCGAAAAATAAGCAAATCGATTCCTCTATTGTGTCTAAAGTTTATGGTTTCCGTTGGTGCAAATCCAATCACCGGAATTTCAGATAAGAAGAAATTCTCCATTGATAGCAAACGCTTATCCATTAAGCGGAGGAAATCTTATTGAAATTCAAAAACAAAAAAAAAACATAAAACTGAGGTTTGCACTCGGTCAAGAACGGACTACGAAGGTCAGCTACCCCAGCTAACTTTCCTAATTAAATATCGTTACTGTATAGGTCGGTCTGATTGTGAAAGGCCTGTTACTGGATAATTCGTGGGTAGAGCCGAAGAGTGTGGTATGAACTATACAAGTTCGCAATAACATTGATTAATTGATTAAATGAAGTAAAGGCTCCGATGTATAGAGAAGACCTCACCGTTTAAGAAGTAACCATAGAAACGATGGAACCCACTATTTCTAGTTCTTTTTTATTGACTCTATTTTGAACACCTATCAAAGGATAGTTCCTTATTTCTTTCGTATTTCGCAGTAAAATACCTAAAAAATCGTGGTCTGGAAGGTTATAGTAGCCAAAGCCATTGGGATTTTGATTTTATACATTGGAAAAATCCGTTTGGTTATTAATAGACCAGGGCGTGGAAAAGAATAACTGAAAGAAAAGAAATCAATTAGTTATTTGTCAAAGTTTTATTTATGTAATGACCAGAATTAAACGCGGATATATAGCTCGGAGACGCAGAACAAAAATTCGTTTCTTTGCCTCAAGCTTTCGAGGGGCTCATTCAAGACTGACTCGAACTATTACTCAACAGAAAATACGAGCTTTGGTTTCGGCTCATCGGGACAAGAATAAGCAAAAAAGAAATTTTCGTCGTTTGTGGATCACTCGAATAAACGCATTAATTCGAGAACGAGGAATATCCTCTAGTTATAGTAAATTAGTACATGATCTATACAAAAGACAGTTGCTTCTTAATCGTAAAATACTAGCCCAAATAGCTATATCAAATAGAAAGTGTCTTTATATGATTTCCAATGAAATCAGAAAAGAAGTAGATTGGAACGAATACACCAGAATAAGTTAAATGGAGTTCCCCGGAGAATGAACTCCGGGAAGGTGGAGTCGAAATGACTATGAGAAAATAGGCTAAAGTAGTGAAAATGAATGAACACGTTCAATAAAAAAAACTCTTTTTTTTTTTCGTTTTTTTTTTTCTTATGACAGACATGATAATAAAATCTGGCTTCTCAAATTTGTGTCGAACAAAAAACCAATCCATGTTTGAGTTCGGATTGGAATTCTGATTCAAGTGAACAAAGAATAAACCTATTTTTTTCTGGTTCTAAGACCAGTAGTTCTAGCGGTCGACTCGGTTCTTTCAAATTGTTTCTCATTGTTGAGAAAAGGTAACAAAGATAAAATACGAGCTTGCTTTATAGCAATAGTAATTAATCGTTGTTGTTTCAAGGTCAATCTATTCAATCGTCTAGATAATATCTTTCCTTGTTCACTAATAAATCGACTAATTAAATTCATGTTTCTATAATCAATTCGATCCCCCGATTGAATCGGGGGCAAACGCCTACGAAAAGATCGCTTGGATTTCAGAAAAGGCCGCTTAGATTTATCCATGGTTTGTTTGTTTAGTTTATTTCTTATCCTAAAAATCCTATTTCTTAATTGTCATTTTCACCCACAATAGGATTTTTTATTAGTAAAATATGTTCTATTTCGAGCTCTATGTTGTTCTATATAATGTCATTTTTACCCTTTCAAGACTAAGATTTCAAAACTAAGATTCGATCTATTTCTTTATTTCCCTATGAATCGTGTGTTTGTAACAATAGGGACAGAATTTTCTCAATTCTAATTGATTAGGCGTATTGTGTCGGTTCTTTTGAGTAATATATCTGGAAATGCCTGTTGATACCTTCTTAACACCGTTTCGGATACAACCGTTACATTCCAAAATCACCGTTCCTCGCGCATCTTTCTTCTTGGCCATGAATCTCCTTTGTATTTTTGATTTACTCAGCTCTTCTATATTTGATTCGAAATAAAGAAAAAGAAAGGAAGGAAAAAATAGAAGTTACTAATTTTCAATCAAACTTGAAAAGATAAAAATCAATAAAGTTCTAATAAATCAAAGCAAAGCCATAGTAAATAATAAGAATAAGTAAGACAATGATTTTGAAACTCCATTTCAACCCGAAGAACAATATTTCCCTTAAAGATCTTGTATTCTTGCTCTAGACCCGCATTCTATCCACACGTCTCTATTAGTATTAGTGTATTATTACTATTCATTTAATTCGAATTTGAACCCAAGTCTCGCAGACGTTGAATTCACTTTTATGCTTTCTCTTTCGTCCCTTAATTTTCAAAATTCGAAAAAAGGGAAAAAAGAGAAAAAGGGAGGATAAATTAGTCACAGATAGTTGATTGTATCTCTAATCTTGTTCATTCCTTCCGACGTCAATAACTAGAATGAAAAAAAGGGGAATGTCAGCGCATCCGGAAAAAAACGATTAATCTCTATCAATAGACCTGCTAAAGCCCCGAACCATAGCGTACTTAGTACTGGAGCCACGGAGAGATATGTTTTTAGATATCGCATTGAAAAACCTCCTTTTTTTTAAATACATAAAGATAATGCATATATGATCAGATGCATATGTGGTTAAGAGCCACTTAGAGTTGTACACAGAATCCCTAATTCAAATTGAAAAAGGATCCATAAGGTTTTCCCTTTCTTATTATTCTAAGTTAAATGAGACAAAAAAGACGAAATGGGCCGAACAATTGTGTTTCTCAATGGAGGAAATAGGCATGTAGAAAACAAGACAGGAATTCTCTACAATCATACTATAGAACGATTCAAGGGATGTGGCGCAGCTTGGTAGCGCGTTTGTTTTGGGTACAAAATGTCACGGGTTCAAATCCTGTCATCCCTACCTAATTACTGTCCCCTTTAACCAGTAACAAGGAATCAATTGAGATCGATTCCAATTGCACGGAATTATAGAACTATAGAATATATGCATACAAAATCAAATGGATTCGGGTTCGAAACAGAATCTTTTTTTCTTTACAGTTCTGATAAGAAAGCGCTCTTAGTTCAGTTCGGTAGAACGTGGGTCTCCAAAACCCGATGTCGTAGGTTCAAATCCTACAGAGCGTGATTTTTTCTTCGTAAATAAAATTAGACTGAAGTGGATTCAATCACTTGTATAGCATTGACATTAAAGAAAGGAGGGGGTCAGTCAAAAGTCAAAAAAAGAAATCTTAATTAATCAAAGATCCAACTGATCACCGCGCCTGTATTGTAAATATGCAGTTACGAATAATCCAGCCAAAGTAATAGGAATTAGACCTAACACGATTCCAAATAAAAGAACTTCAATCATTTCAATTTTATGAAAAGGAGAAAAAAAGAGGAAATATCTATAATTAAATATTAATCAGAATTGACATAAATCTCAACGACCAAGAATTGAAAATTGACTTGATGTAGAATATACGGAATCTCACAGAAAGATTTCCTTTCTGAATTCTTTCTTTCAAAGAGAAATTTTAAATAAGTCGTATCTTGCTCAGACCAATAAATAGAACTGAAGTTATAGTTAAAGCTACTAGTAGAAAACCGAAATAACTGGTTATAGTAAGCATGAGGGGGGGCTAACTGAAATGTGGTATTTCTATACATAGATTTCTAAAGCATTTACCTGAGTTTCCTTTTTTTTGACATAGGAGGATATACAAAAATATAAATTGAACAACTAATTTCAATTGAAATTTTGTGATTTATCTATCATTCTAGATGGCACGAACAAAGAGAAAGTGACAGGCATATAAAACGAAACTGATTCATCATTTCTATGATCTAGCCATCTAGTAATTCCTATCAACCGAGTCGTTGAACATAAACCAATAATACGAACTGAATCGTGTAACTTCATTCAAAAATGAAACTCTTTTTGAATTATTATGGAATACTATTTTCCATTTTTTATTTTCATATTTTTAAAAAGTCTCATTCTTGCAGCTAAATCAAGATTTGGATTGAGATCCAATTCATTACAAGTATTGATTCCGATTTTTTGATTCTTTTTTCGCTTTCTTTCATCGAATAGGATTTACTACTCATATTTGTTACTGGAAGATTCACCAATTCCTTAAATTGTAGAAAGATGATAATCTCTTTCATTGTAAGAATTTTGTATTAAATATAGCATCATTTTACCTGAACAGATAAAGGAAAGGAAGAAATACATTAATTTAGCACTTCTTTTCGATACTGATTCAAATTGCGTTGCTGTGTCGAAAGAAGGATAGTTATACTGATTCGGTATATTCGAAAGATGCCCTCGGTGCAATATTGACGATCCTACAAAGATCCAATTTCAGTGATTGCCTTTTACTGATCTCATCTTTTACGATCCCCCCTTTGACTGTACAAAAATATGTGGAGCTGAGCATGTCTGGAAGCACAGGAGAACGTTCTTTTGCTGATATTATTACCAGTATTCGATATTGGGTCATTCATAGCATTACGATACCTTCCCTATTTATTGCGGGTTGGTTATTCGTCAGTACGGGTTTAGCTTACGATGTATTTGGAAGCCCTCGGCCAAACGAATATTTCACAGAGAGCCGACAAGGAATTCCATTAATAACTGGACGTTTTGATTCTTTGGAACAACTCGATGAATTTAGTAGATCGTTTTAGGAGGTCCTAATCAAATGACTATAGATCGAACCTATCCAATTTTTACAGTACGATGGTTGGCTGTTCACGGACTAGCTGTACCAACCGTCTTTTTTTTGGGGTCAATATCAGCAATGCAATTCATCCAACGATAAACCTAATTCCGAATTTATAGAGCTATGACACAATCAAACCCGAACGAACAAAATGTTGAATTGAATCGTACCAGTCTCTACTGGGGGTTATTACTTATTTTTGTACTTGCTGTTTTATTTTCGAATTATTTCTTCAATTAAGAAAACGAAAGAAAAAATCAAAACTCTAGGCATTCTCTTAGCCCGTTCGGAAGGATCTCATCTCATAATTATCCATGACTGTTTATGTCTCTAGCATGACCACTTAATGAAATTGGGGGGAAGTGGAGGAAATGGCCGATACTACTGGAAGGATTCCTCTTTGGATAATAGGTACTGTAACTGGTATTCTTGTGATCGGTTTAATAGGTATTTTCTTTTATGGTTCATATTCCGGATTAGGTTCATCCCTGTAGTAATCGGATGGATTGAGTTGTAGACGTAGGAACTCAACGGGATTCCCTTCTTTCTTTGTCTGATTCGAGGGGAAAGGGACCGTTGGGTTCTTAAGAATCAGAGTCTTTTTTTGTCTAAATGACAAAGTGGGTTTCGTTTTCTGCTGTTTCACAAAACTCCATTCCATTTTTTCTGATAATGCTTTTGAAAAATAAACTTCATTCATTGATTCAGAACATCTCTTCCTTGATCTTGAGAGTATGTATGGGTTCTTTGAATAAGGAGGGAATCACTCAATTGCACGGATTCGATATATTTCTCTAGATTCGATATCGTAGAAATACTTTCTATCCTCTTACCATATTTCTTTTTTTATTTATTTAGTATATCAGAAAAGTAGAGATTTTTTCGAAGTTCATGGAATAAGTTCTATTTTTTGTTTGTACATCACTTGACTTTTTTGTTGTCATTGTCCGAAATAAATAGAAAAAGGTTCTGATACATCTGGAAAACCGAAACCCAGACTAGGAGCCCAAAATCATTCCTCTTTCGACACAAGAAAAGGGATTTTATAAACCCCCCTTTTCTTGTGTCGAAGACAAATAATAGCTCTTAGAATTATCTGTTCCCCACATTTGTAGTTCGTTCTATTACCCGCTTACTTATGCTGATATCTATCCCAATTTAATTCGGTTTCCAATGTCCTAAAATGGATCCATTTTAGGACATTGGAATCCTAACAAAGACAAAGTCATAAAGTCAAATAAAATAGTCTTCTTGAAAGAAAAATATACCTATTATGATATGACTAGGAATGCTGATTCCCCCAAGCTCGTAAAAAAAGAGCAAGTAAATAAAAGTTTTTCGTAATTTCTTTTTATAGATAATTGACAACAAGAATTTTGTTCTTTTTACGATCCTGATATCGATAAATCCGCGAGTCTAAAAATTCATTTCGGCCAATTGAACCTTTTCGAACTGTTTCTTTTTAAGAACCAAAAAGATTTGTGCCAGAATAACAGATGCCAAGAAGAACAAAAGACCTTGGACACGTAATGGATCTTGAAGTACTATTTCTGCATCTCCCTGACCAAATCCACCCACATTGGGATTACTCGTTAATGGTTGATCCAATTTGATGGATTCACCCTCTGAAACAAGAAGTTCGGGCCCTGGAGGGATAATATCAACAACTTGACGTCCATCCGATGGATCTGATATGGTTATTTCATATCCTCCTTTTTCTTTTCGTAGGATTTTACTTATTATACCCATTCCTGTCGCATTAAAAACTGTATTGTTACTTTTGCTTCCGTCGGGATAAATCTGACCCCTTCCTCGATTCGCGCCTACATATATAGGATATTTTAAGAAGTGAACATCTTTTTTAGAAGCGGGGTCGGGGGAAAGAATAGGAAAGGTGATTTCACTATATTTCTGACCGGGGACAGGCCCTATCACAAGAATATTTTTTTTTGGGGGGCGATAGCTCTGAAAAGACAAATTGCCTATCTTTTCTTTAATCTCGGGAGAAATACGATCGGAAGGAGCTAATTCAAATCCCTCCGGTAAAATAAGAACAGCCCCCACATTCAAACCCCCCTTCTTACCATTAGCAAGAACTTGTTTCACTTGCTTATCATAAGGAATTCGAACAACTGCTTCAAATACAGTATCAGGAAGTACCGCCTGTGGAACCTCAATATCCACGGGCTTATTAGCTAAATGACAATTCGCACATACAATACGCCCAGTCGCTTCTCGTGGATTTTCATAACTCTGCTGCGCAAAAACGGGATATGCGTTTGAAATAGATGTCCGAGTTATGATATATATAATGAGTGATACGGAAATAGATCGAGTAATCTGTTCCTTTATCCAAGAAAAAGTATTTCTAGTTTGCATGGTCTAATCATTGATCCGAAAAATTTATATAATAATTTATACAATAAATTGGGTAGGTTGCTGGTATAGTTCCCTATCCACGATTCTGCTATTTAATGCAATCACTTTACTGGAATACTATAGGATATAGGGTGAAAATCCCCCCAATAGAAGGTTTTTAATGCTTATGTATAACTAACCATTAGAGTAGATTAAATGAATATGAATATCGGTGGATGATTTATCAATCATTCATTGAATGATAAATAACTACAAGTGACGGAGATATACGATTTAAATAACGGAAAATCCAATATTTCAAAATAGTATCGAGAATAACCGGAAAAGTGGAAACAAGACCAGATATAATTTGATCATTATGAACAAATCCAAAATCTTTGTAAACATAACCAATCATTAGTTCCCAACCGTGGGGTGAATGAAATCCGATACATAAATCGGTTAATAAAAGAATCGAAAAAGCTTTTACTGTATCACTTAAGTTATATAGGAATTCCTGAGCCCACGAGTTAAGAACAGCAAGTTCTTCATTACCTAAAAGAGAATAACCGCTTAGAATAACAAAAGAGATTATATTTGTCGAGAAGTGCAAAATCGTATGGATACGATCCTCATTGTGTATCTTGACTAATTGGATCGTTTCTTTGTGGATTCCTATAGAAAGCTTTTGGGGATGTGTCTCCGAGTATTCCTTGAATATTTCGTCCAATAAAAGAATTTCCTCTAATTCTATGAATTTTTCTAGAATACTTTTTTCTTTAATATCATTCAAAAAAATTTCGGATTGACCACTATTTGACCAATTAGTAACCCAAAATTCCATACATTTAGTAAATGAGAGAGAAACCCACCAGGGAAAAAAAAAGACTATAGATGTAAGATAGAAAAAAGTAGTGAATGCTTTCTTTTTTGCCATTTTTCACCTGTGAATTTTGAATTAACAAACTTCATTTCTCGATTCTATGTGATCGAATATTTTTTTTTTAATATGAGTTCTCAATAAGGTATCAAACCTCTGAATCTATTTGATTTATGATTTTGTTTAAATCCAGAAAGAATACAGAAATAGACTAAGACTCCGCCTCGAACTGCGAATTCGAATGAAGAAATAATCAAAAATATTCTTTCCGGATATCTCGATTCACCAAATTCCAAACAAGTGCTTCTTTCCGTCATTCATTGAAAGGAGACACTTGTTTGGAATGAATATTATTAATATTTTGAGACGAAGGAACTCGTTTTCTATCAAAATATCCAATAATTGCAAAAAAATTGCAACGATTCGACATATCCAAGAATCAAATGATTGAGAGAAAGATAGTGTGATGATCAAAAAAAGGAGCGGCAAAACAAACAAGACAGAAAAAGGCCAGTTTTCATTACTAAGAAAATCGATTATTGGTTAGTAAAGAACACAAGCGAAAAGATAAAAAAATATCGATTGACAAAAAGGAAAAAATCTACAAGATATGCTCTATCTGCATCTTATCACTTCGAAGAAGAACGAAAAAAAAGTTTTGTTTTATGGTTGTTCCATATACCCCGGCTTTGGCTGGACTGAATGTTCTGACGAAACTTCATTTAGAAAACAAGAGGATTTCCCTCCTGCTGAGAAAACATTCGTTCTTCAGCTAAGTTCCTTTTAAAAAACTTCAATAGGTACGCGCAAGAAATAGGCCAATTGCGCGGCTTTTTGTTCAATTTCTCGTGGGGTCAAATTCTCATCAGTACGGGTCAACGGAATAGCCCCCCGGCCTCTGATGTCCATATAAAGGACACGGCGAGCATAAATACCCTCTTTAACTTCTATTCGAACGGATTGAATATCCTTTATAAGGAATCGGAGGAATATACGACGATTTTTTCCAGGAAATCCCCAACGAAAAATACACACTATTCCCTCCTTTCTATCGAATCGATCATACCCACTACCTACATTCCAAGAAATTGTGCACCACAAATAGGAACTAATAAATAGACCCGCGACCCCGTAGAAAGACATCACAATTCCCTGTGGAAAAAAAAGAATTGGCTGAGATGGGACAAAAGATATCAAATTTCGACCAAGATAACTGGCAGTTCCAGCCAATAAGAATCCTAATGAACCTAAAAAAACGATAAGGGCCCAGCAAAAATTACTTAGTTTTCGAGACCCCGTTATAAGCTCTATCCATATATGTTCTGATCGCCAACTCATACTTGATCCGATTGTATTTTATTGGAATTGAGAGAATACCCATTTTGCCCTTCCTTTTTTGTTTCCGAAGGAACTCTCATCAACTAGCACTAGTTTGATGTGAACTAGCACTAGTTTAATGTGAAGCTTTAGGAGTCATTCATCAAATTGGTTAGATCTAAAATAATAACATACCCTTCAGAGGACCCCAATATACATATGGATCCACCAACTTTACATTTTCTGCATCCAGCGATGCTGATCTATTTGAAACTAGCTAGGATTCATTTATCCAGAGATCATTTTCTGCGGGCATAAGAGCTTTTTCCTTTATATTCGGCGGAAATCACATGTTATACTATATTTCCATTTCCCGAAATAAATATCTGTGTTATGCTACAGTTTCAAAAAAAAAAACGGCTGAGATTGCGTCCTAAACAATTTTTTTTTTTTGAACATGAAGAAATAAAGAAACCATTGCAATTGCGGGAAATATTAAGCCTACTAAAGGCACAAAAATAGAAGGAAGATTGAACGTTGTCATAAAATGGTACCTCGATTTACTATATTGTACCTGTTATTATTATTAATTTGTTTTTTTTTCTATTTTCTATTTATACTTATTATAATTCAGAATTGTGATTATTAGGAATTCGTTATTATTATTAATTAATTTAATTTGAAAATTCTTATTCGAAATAGAAAATATAAGTATCTATATATATCTAAGTTAGTATATAAAAGAAATCTAAGGAATGTAGAAAATGGAGAACTAAATAAATTCATCTTTCTACATGAAAGATACGTATGATAATAAACTTGATTATTTTATTTTATTTCGTTATGTTTTGTTCTTGTCTTCAAATTTACTAAAGAAAGAGTTTGTTACAAATTATCGAAAGATTCGTTAGAATGCGACACAACCGGAATTTTTAGTGAAAATTGAATTTTCGGTAGATGGAGAAAAATAGAAAATTATATATCTATCTTTTCTATATTTGATTTGAATTTATGTAAGACGAAATTCGTTTTGTTTGTCTAATTTCACGAAAGGAAGAACTCTCGCTTTTATCTTGTTGATAGAGACTTCTTTTGATAGAGACTTCTTAATGGGAATCCCGGTAAAAAAAGAGTTATCCTCAACTTTTGATTCTTTCTACAATTCGATCTTAAGTCATTAAAGAAAACTCCATTCTTATTTACTTTAATTCCGATAAGTTAACTACTTGTTTGCTACAAATAAAATAATTGAACTTACTTGATAGAATTTCAATTCAAAGGAAAGAAGGCGTGTAGTTTAAATAACTCACTCAGAACGCTTTTTAAAAGATTACGTGGTACGATTAGGTCGAATAAGCCCTTCTGGAATAAATATTCAGAGACTTGTAAACCCTCGGGGACTGTTTTATTCAATGTTTGTTCAATTACTCTTTTACCCGCAAATGCAATGTAGGAGTTGGGTTCGGCAATAATGATATCTCCCAACATCCCAAAACTAGCTGTTACCCCACCAGTAGTAGGAGATGTAAGGATTGAGACATAAAATAACTTTGTATTTGATTGATAATCATATAAGGCAGACGATATTTTAGCCATTTGCATCAAGCTCAAACTTCCTTCTTGCATGCGTGCCCCCCCCGAAGCGCACACTATAATAAGAGGTAGAAATCGATTGGTAGCGTACTCAATCAAACGAGTGATTTTCTCCCCGACTACGGATCCCATACTACCCCCCATAAACTGAAAATCCATAACCCCAAGTGCTACGGGAACACCATTTAGTTGCCCTATGCCTGTTTGAACAGCCTCAGTTAATCCTGTCTTTCGTTGATAAGAATCAATACGATCTTTATAAGTCTCCTCCTCCGAATGAAATCCAATCGGATCCAGAGAGACCATGTCTTCATCCATAGGATCCCAAGTACCGGGGTCGATCGAGACTTCGATTCTTTCTGAACTACTCATTTTCAAATGATATCTACATTGTTCACAAATATTCATTTTTGATTTCAAAAATCTCTTATAATTTAATCCATAACAATTTTCGCATTGAACCCACAAATGCTTGTAGTTTTGAATTGCATCGAGATCATTAGACTTTTCTCCTAGAGTTAAATCACTGCTCTTCTCGTGGGTTCGTATACTGGATCCCCCCCTTTCACTATTAGTTCTACGTTTATCAAAAACGCGCCTAGAAATGTAACTGTCACTACTATCACTTACAATGGACATATCAATACAGATTTGATACTGAAGATAATCGTCAATGCAACTAGTAATGTGATTATTCCAACTAGATTGAGTATCATACATCGAGCAATTGTATAAGGAATCTTCACTCGTAGATCCATTATTCCTATAACTAGAATTTCGATAACTCGAAAAAGAACTTTCAAGTTCACTCAGAAAAGAATGATCGTTGTCAATCTTAAAAATCTGATTTTCAATATCAAAATGGATCGAATAATTGTCTCCAGTACTATCCCTAACTAAAAAAGTATCATCAGAGATGAAATTCCGAATGTCTTTGACCAAAAATAAATGATCGACATCACTGTAACTAGAATTGTCACGACCCCCCAAACTATGAATGTTTTTAGCCCCACCTTTTTGATTCGAATCTTCACTTTCACTAGTATTTTCAATAGGACCAAGATTGTCCGTTGATTTCTTTATCCCGTACCTGTGTTCGAACTCCTTGGTAAACACCGTCGAATTAAACCACCATCTTTCCATAGAGTTTTCTTGCCCCCTATTTTATTTGCATAAAAATACACTAGATGAATAGTCATTCGACCCGCAATTCTTTATTTGTCTTTGAATTCCCATCAGACTAAACATAGAAATTACATCATTGCGAAATACTAAATTATTAATAAGAAGTGATTATCTTTTATTTTGTGGGAATCCGGAGGTAAGATTTTACTATAACTATATAGTAATATGATGGAATCCCTTTTCATTCGAAATTAAATAGAATGATAAAAAGTGCTTTTTCCTATGTCTTCGCCTTCGCGTCGAACAAAAAAGCAATATTTGTTCTACCCTAGATAGAATTTTTTTGTAAAATCTCGTCTAATAACTAACTAATAACTAATAAGAAGTAAGAAATTAAGGGTCTATTTCAACACGGAACGAAAAAGACAATATACAGGATGGGTCAAAAATTTGTGATACTTCGCTTGATTCAGCCAAACTACAGGATCTATAAAGAATATACCAATCCTGAGGATCCATAGGTTTAAATGTGGATCCAAGACGACAATAGAACCATTTGAGTCTTCAATTTGCTATTTGAAATCTTCTCTATCTCGAGATCTATGTATTTATCCAAAATACATGCAATAGAATGGTTCTATTCGGCCCAATCTTTTACTAAAATGATTGAGCCGAGTTTAATTGCAATTCAATTAAGAGAACGGAGAGTAATTATTTTGTTGGATCCAAAACATCCACTGCTTCAAACTCAAATTTGATCTCTTTCCATATCTCACAAGCGGCAGCTAGTTCAGGACTCCATTTGCTAGCCTCGCGGATAATTACATTACCCTCAGCAGCAAGATCACGTCCTTCATTACGAGCTTGTACACATGCTTCTAGAGCTACTCGGTTAGCTACGGCACCTGGCGCATTCCCCCAAGGGTGTCCTAAAGTTCCTCCACCAAACTGTAGTACGGAATCATCCCCAAAGATTTCGGTCAGAGCAGGCATATGCCAAACGTGAATACCCCCTGAAGCCACGGGAATAACACCGGGTAAAGAGACCCAATCTTGAGTGAAATAAATACCGCGACTTCGGTCTTTTTCAACAAAATCATCACGCAGTAAATCAACAAAGCCCAAAGTAATGTCTCTTTCTCCTTCAAGTTTACCTACTACGGTACCAGCGTGAATATGATCTCCACCAGACAGACGTAACGCTTTAGCTAGTACACGGAAGTGCATACCATGATTCTTCTGTCTATCAATAACTGCGTGCATTGCACGGTGAATGTGAAGAAGTAGGCCATTATCTCGGCAATAATGAGCCAAGCTAGTATTTGCAGTGAATCCTCCTGTTAAGTAGTCATGCATTACGATAGGAACTCCCAACTCCCTAGCAAATACAGCTCTTTTCATCATTTCTTCGCATGTACCCGCAGTAGCATTCAAGTAATGTCCTTTGATTTCACCTGTTTCAGCCTGTGCCTTATAAATTGCTTCAGCACAAAATAAGAAACGATCTCTCCAACGCATAAATGGCTGGGAGTTCACGTTCTCATCATCTTTGGTAAAATCAAGTCCACCGCGAAGACATTCATAACATGCTCTGCCGTAGTTTTTAGCGGATAATCCCAATTTAGGTTTAATAGTACATCCCAGCAGAGGACGACCATATTTGTTCAATTTATCTCTCTCAACTTGGATCCCATGAGGCGGACCTTGGAAAGTTTTAATATAAGCAGTAGGGATTCGCAGATCTTCCAGGCGTAGAGCACGCAGGGCTTTGAATCCAAATACATTTCCTACAATGGAAGTAAACATGTTGGTAACAGAACCTTCTTCAAAAAGGTCTAAAGGGTAAGCTACATAACAAATATATTGATCTGTTTCGCCAAGAACGGGCTCGATGTTGTAGCATCGCCCTTTGTAACGATCAAGGCTGGTAAGTCCATCAGTCCACACGGTTGTCCATGTACCAGTGGAAGATTCGGCAGCTACCGCTGCCCCTGCTTCTTCAGGCGGAACTCCGGGTTGAGGAGTTACTCGGAATGCTGCCAAGATATCAGTATCTTTGGTTTCGTATTCAGGAGTATAATAAGTCAATTTGTACTCTTTAACACCCGCTTTGAAAAAAACACTTGCTTTAGTCTCTGTTTGTGGTGACATAAATCCCTCCCTACAACTCATGAATTAAGAATTCTGACAACAACAAGGTCTACTCGACACGAATGAATTAGGCGTTAATGAAACTATTCACGGGAATTTTTCAAAAACTTCCAACTAATACTAATATTATCAACTAATCAGATTGATTATTAGGCCATGGTATTTGATTTACCAAACACATCATTATTGTATACTCTTTCATATGTATAGCGCAACCCCCCCTTTTTTTACCTTTTTCGAAATCGAAATAACTAACCCAACTAATAAGAAATTCCCTATTGACAGCGGTATATGTTGTATATGTAAATCTTAGATATGAAAATAGCCGAAATTCATCCATGCAAGAGATAGGCTATAGGCATAAATTAATATGCTGAAATCAAAAATAAGAAGAGCCGATAAGATAGAAATAATGAATCGTAATGTAAATAGAGTTCGGGTTCAACTTCCATAGAATATATTTTCGAATCGAAATAGGATTGTCTATAATGATAGACAAATGAAAAACTTTCTCAAGATCTCATGTTTCAAAATAGCTTGGTTGGGCTTGCAACTTCACTCATTGAATAAGGAACCAATTGAAGTGGATTCGATTGAATCGCACCAACGAAAGAAATCGAGTGCTAACTCCCATTTCTTAATTGAATTAATTAACTGATCGGCGTGCTATTAGACGGTTATTTTAAATTTGATAATTTTCACAAACTTTGACACATATTTATTATTATGAGAATTAATCCTACTACTGGGGTTTCCGCGGTTGAAAAAAAAAACCTGGGACGTATCGTCCAAATCATCGGTCCGGTACTAGATGTAGCCTTTCCGCCGGGCAAAATGCCTAATATTTATAACGCTTTGGTAGTTAAAGGTCGAGATACTGTTGGTCAACCAATTAATGTGACTTGTGAGGTACAGCAATTATTAGGAAATAATCGAGTTAGAGCTGTAGCTATGAGTGCTACAGATGGTCTGATGAGAGGAATGGAAGTGATTGATACGGGAGCTCCTCTAAGTGTTCCGGTCGGTGGAGCTACTCTGGGACGCATTTTCAACGTGCTTGGAGAGCCTGTTGATAATTTGGGTCCTGTAGATACTCGTACAACATTTCCTATTCATCGATCTGCGCCTGCCTTTATCCAATTGGATACAAAATTATCTATTTTTGAAACAGGAATTAAGGTAGTAGATCTTTTAGCCCCTTATCGGCGTGGGGGAAAAATCGGACTATTTGGGGGAGCTGGGGTTGGGAAAACGGTACTCATTATGGAATTGATTAACAATATTGCCAAAGCCCACGGGGGCGTATCCGTATTTGGCGGAGTGGGTGAGCGTACTCGTGAAGGAAATGATCTTTACATGGAAATGAAAGAATCTGGAGTTATTAATGAAGAAAATATTGCAGAATCAAAAGTAGCCCTGGTTTACGGTCAGATGAATGAACCGCCGGGAGCTCGTATGAGAGTTGGTTTGACTGCCCTAACGATGGCGGAATATTTCCGAGATGTTAATGAACAAGACGTACTTCTATTTATCGACAATATCTTCCGTTTCGTCCAAGCAGGATCCGAAGTATCGGCCTTATTAGGTAGAATGCCTTCCGCGGTCGGTTATCAACCCACCCTGAGTACCGAAATGGGCTCTTTACAAGAAAGAATTACTTCTACCAAAGAAGGGTCAATCACTTCGATTCAAGCAGTTTATGTACCTGCAGACGATTTGACCGATCCTGCTCCTGCTACGACATTTGCACATTTAGATGCTACTACCGTACTATCAAGAGGATTAGCTGCCAAAGGTATCTATCCGGCAGTAGATCCTTTAGATTCAACTTCAACCATGCTTCAACCTCGGATCGTTGGTGAGGAACATTATGAAACTGCGCAAAGAGTTAAGCAAACCTTACAACGTTATAAAGAGCTTCAAGACATTATAGCCATCCTGGGGTTGGACGAATTATCCGAAGAGGATCGTTTAACCGTAGCAAGAGCGCGAAAAATTGAGCGTTTCTTATCACAACCCTTTTTTGTAGCCGAAGTATTTACCGGTTCTCCTGGGAAATATGTTGGTCTAGCAGAAACCATTAGAGGGTTTCAATTGATCCTTTCCGGAGAATTAGATGGTCTTCCTGAACAGGCCTTTTATTTGGTAGGTAATATTGATGAAGCTGCCGGGAAGGCTATGAACTTAGAAATGGAGAACAATTTGAAGAAATGACCTTAAATCTTTGTGTACTGACCCCTAATCGAATTGTTTGGGATTCAGAAGTGAAAGAAATCATTTTATCTACGAATAGCGGTCAAATTGGCGTATTACCAAATCATGCTCCTATTGCTACAGCTGTAGATATAGGAATTTTGAGAATACGCCTTACGGACCAATGGTTCACGATGGCTCTGATGGGTGGTTTTGCTAGAATAGGCAATAATGAAATCACTATTTTAGTCAATGATGCGGAAAAGGGTAGTGATATTGATCCGCAAGAAGCTCAGCAAACTCTTGAAATAGCAGAAGCTAGTTTGAGAAAAGCTGAAGGAAAGAGACAAAAAATTGAAGCAAATCTAGCTCTCCGACGAGCTAGGACAAGAGTAGAGGCTGTCAATGTGATTTCATAAGCAGTTATTGCGTTCGAATAATCAAAAGAAGTTTGGCCTGGATTCTGCTTGATTGGATTCACTTGACAGAGTCCAATTTTGATACAACGCATTTCAAAAATGAAATCGAAATCAATAAGAATACAAAATCACTAAAAAGAAAAAAGAATGGGTCAAAAAACTTATTAGATACCGGAGTCAATGGTATCTAATAAGTTCTACCTACTATTGGATTTGAACCAATGACTCCCGCCGTATGAAAGCAATACTCTAACCACTGAGTTAAGTAGGTAATTTATCATCCCAAAAAAACCAAACGGAACCCATCCCACCGATGGATTATAAATAGCATATTCCTTAATAAGCAATAATAACCTAAGCAATACCATTCCAAAATATATGATATTGGATCATAGAATATTCATCTTGACAAGAAATTCTATACATGATAAAATACGCATCACAAGCACTAAGGGCTATAGCTCAGTTGGTAGAGCACCTCGTTTACACATGCGCCAATGTTTTTTGGGGGAGTCCATTATACACTCAAATAAAAAGAAATTCATTTTCTTGCGAAATCGATGTCTTACCCTCATAACTATTGAGGGAACAATAGCCTGACAAATGATTCGATCGGATTTTGGTGCCAAACAGACCGGATCGTTGATTTGAGATATTGATAAGGTGAATACCAGTGCATTCAATGCTAGGCATAATGAGTATAAGGTTCTCAAAAAATTTCTTTTCGTCCTATGAGCTTTAAGGTGTATGAAGTTTCATATTTGATTTTCATTTTCAAAGGAACGATAGAGACTTCATTTAACTTAAAACAATCTAGGCCGGAGGCAGACCTACGTCAAGATAACCCACACCCTTGAAACACTTTGGTAGTGCTCTCTCATATAATGAATCAGAGCACACGGAGCTATCTCCTTATCGGATTTTTCTGTCAAAAAAAATATGGTGGATTGGCTGATATTTCTTTCAGTTAATGAAAGAGCCCAATGCAAAAAAAAATGCATGTTGGGTTTTTGAAACAGTTCAGATCATTTTGATAATAATAAGTTTGATCCGTTTTACCGAGAAGGTCTACGGTTCGAGTCCGTATAGCCCTAGAAATCAAAATCGAAAAGAAATATAAAATCAAATGAAGATTTGAAAGAAAAAATTATATAATTTTCCTTTTTGGTACTTGTGACTGACCGGTTGGTTTTTCGAAATCGAATTTTTCCTAAAAATTCACTCATTCTCATTTTAAACATTAAACAGAACAGAAAACTGGAATAAATTGGTCATTAATCCGCGGAGATAAATTCGATATGAATTTCCCTGTCCACCACAATCAAGGAGTTAAGTTAATGATACTCCTTAGTATACCTAATACTTTATTATACCTAACTTTAACCTAACCTTAATGAATTTAAGAAGTCAAAGACATAAGTCCACTCCAAAGAGTTATTCACATAGATCTAGGGGACAGGCTAAAGTTTGGTGAAAAACGAATCTCTTTGGTAAGTTTCATGGTTCTGTATTCAATCAAGAGAAAACCCCACTCAGATTCTAATAAACAGAATATACCTTAAGATATCCGAAATCCTGAGATGGAAATACTTATTTCATTCTAAATCATTAAGAAAAAACCTCTTTTTATTCAATATTCAAAAGAATAATAAGTTCAAATTTTTGAAACATAAAATCAAAATAATAATTCGATTTTATTTGGAAGTCGCTTTCTTTAGCCAGAATCCTGGGGGAAAACAAGAAAATTTGTCTAAGCATAATATATACTATATATAATATACATATAAATAATATATATATAAATATATATATAAATTCAAGAAAATTGACTTCAAAAACTCAAGTAAACTGTAAGTAGACTGGAAACAGGATCCCAGTCAAGTCAGTCGATAAATCTTGAAATGAGATATGCCCACAATAATCAAAAGGAACTAGATGGTTTGATCAAAATGAATTCTTGTTTTGATTAAACAGTTCTGGATGACTTTACAACTTCAATTCGAATCGACCAATCCGGTCTATTTTCCATGTTCATAGGAGTGTGTCTATGTTTTTGCTTTACGAATATGATATTTTTTGGGCATTTCTAATAATATCAAGTCTTATTCCTATTTTAGCATTTTTCATTTCCGGAATTTTAGCCCCGATTCGGAAAGGACCGGAGAAACTCTCTAGTTATGAATCGGGTATAGAACCAATGGGCAATGCTTGGTTACAATTTCGAATTCGTTATTATATGTTTGCTCTAGTTTTTGTTGTTTTTGATGTTGAAACGGTTTTTCTTTATCCATGGGCAATGAGTTTCGATGTATTGGGTCTATCCGTATTTATAGAAGCTTTCATTTTCGTACTTATCTTAATTGTTGGTTTAGTTTATGCATGGCGAAAGGGGGCATTGGAATGGTCCTAGTTCCTGAATATTCAGACAATAAAAAGAAAAAACGATTGAAAAAGTTATGAATTCCATTGAGTTTCCTTTACTTGATCCAACAGCCGAAAATTCCGTTATTTCAACTACATTAAATGACTTTTCAAATTGGTCAAGACTCTCTAGTTTATGGCCGCTTCTCTATGGTACCAGTTGTTGTTTTATTGAATTTGCTTCACTAATAGGATCACGATTTGACTTTGATCGTTATGGACTAGTACCAAGATCGAGTCCTAGACAAGCGGATCTAATTTTAACAGCCGGAACAGTAACAATGAAAATGGCCCCCTCCTTAGTGAGATTATATGAGCAAATGCCCGATCCAAAATATGTTATTGCTATGGGGGCCTGTACAATTACAGGAGGGATGTTCAGTACCGATTCTTATAGTACTGTTCGGGGAGTCGATAAGCTAATTCCTGTGGATATCTATTTGCCGGGTTGTCCCCCTAAACCAGAAGCAGTTATAGATGCTATAACGAAACTTCGGAAGAAAATGTCTCGAGAAATCTATGACAATCAAATTAGGCCTCAACAAGTAAATCGGTGTTTTACGACCAATCACAAGTTTCATGGTGCACGCAGTATGAATACTGGAAATTATGATCAAGGCTTCCTCTATCAACCCCCATCTACTTCAGAGATCCCTACTGAAATCTTTTTCAAATATAAAAGTTCAGTATCTTCTCACGAATTTGTGAATTAGGCAGGACTCCTTTGTACAGAATAACAAGTAGCGAGTCAATCTTCATCAATTTGATCGAGAATGTGAAATTTTTTAAATAAAAATGCGGGAGATAAAAAAGATGCAGGGTCGTTTGTCTGCTTGGCTAGTAAAGCATGGGATAATTCATAGATCTTTGGGCTTTGATTATCAAGGAATAGAGACCCTACAAATAAGGCCCGAGGATTGGCATTCCATTGCTGTCATTTTATATGTATATGGTTACAATTATCTACGCTCCCAATGTGCCTATGATGTATCACCTGGCGGGCTGTTAGCGAGTGTGTATCATCTTACCAGAATCGAGTATGGCGTAAATCAACCAGAAGAGGTATGCATCAAAGTATTTGCCGCAAGAAGGAATCCTATAATTCCGTCCGCTTTCTGGGTTTGGAAAAGCGTGGATTTTCAAGAGCGAGAATCTTATGATATGTTGGGAATATCTTATGAGAATCATCCGCGCTTGAAACGTATCTTAATGCCTGAAAGTTGGCTAGGATGGCCTTTACGTAAGGATTATATTGCCCCTAATTTTTATGAAATACAAGATGCTCATTGAAGGATAAGGAAGTGATTTCTACTTATATAATCTCAGAGATTCAAAGATTGGACTTTCTGTTCTAGATTAACCAGAATAACCGGCGTCTCTTTTGTATTAGGGGATTTTTGATAGACTATCAAAAAAGCACATAATTAGGGAATTCTTGTAATTCTTCCATTTAGTTGGAAACTGCTTATTTTGTACGAGCCAAACAAATAGGATGAATCAAACGGGTTCTGTATCATGATCATGAATCTTGTACTGCACCTATTGCTTAGACCGGTTCTAGAAACTCATGTTGAGACGAATTAGAGAATTGAATAGGAACGAAAATACAAAGAAATGAAAGGGTATCGAATTCCATTTCTTTGTATTGTATCTGAATCGAATCTCGTCTATTTCAACTTCGACTTTTTCTTCTTTCAACCAACCAATTTAATCATACAAATATATATGAAGTATTAACATTCTTTTTGATTGAATGAAAAATCAAAAAGATAAAGTAGAATTTCATTCTAGATACTTTATTTGAATTTAAGAAACTCTACCCATCTAGAAAATAGATGGGGTATATCTTGCCAAAATCGATATTATGATCAAGATTTCAAATCCATATGGATATGGATCTCGATTGATATCTTTGAATTTCGAAAAGAAAGACCTCATACAAATCAAACATATGCCAGGAACCAGATTTGAACTGGTGACACGAGGATTTTCAGTCCTCTGCTCTACCAGCTGAGCTATCCCGACTATTCCGTGGCCTCCCACCCTCATTTTATGAGGATGATTGGGGTCTAGGTCAATTAAAGGGACAAGGGGGCATTCCAAAGTTTTCTCCAAGTCCTGTAAGTTTTTGGAAGACTAAGTCTCAGTAGGAGGAATACTATGTATTGTGAATCATTCAAATAGGGATTCCTTGCTTAATTTGGATGTGTATTCTATATCACATGATCACATGTGATCAGAGTTTATTATGCCCAAATACGTTTGTCAAAGAATCAGAAAGATAAAGGAATTTAGACCCCTTAACAAAAAAGGGGGATAGCATAATTGGGAGTCAAATAAGCTTTTTTGGGGATAGAGGGACTTGAACCCTCACGATTTTGAAAATCGACGGATTTTCCTCTTACTCTAAATTTCATTGTTGCCGGTATTGACATGTGGAATGGGACTCTATCTTTATTCTCGTCCGATTAATCAGTTCTTTAAAAGAACTACGGGACTATGGGTTGAATGATTTGATGAATGAATATTCGACTCTTTCTTCAATGTGAAATCAATTCACGTCGATTCTTGCATTTTTAATGTAAAAAAATACCGATACAGACGCGGGCGTTCTAATGATTTGATAGATTATTCAATAGATACATTTATCCCTTCATCCTTTCTGATGTTTCGATGGAAAGATTCCTCTACCAATGCAGTCAACTCCATTTGTTAGAACAGCTTCCATTGAGTCTCTGCACCTATCCTTTTTTCCGTTTTCGAAACCTTTGTTTTGGGAAATGAGAAAATAGGATTTGGCTCAGGATTGCCCATTTTTCTTAATTCCGGGGTTTCTCTGAATTTGAAAGTTATCACTTAGTAGGTTTCCGTACTAAGGCTCAATTCAATTAAGTCCGTAGCGTCTACCGATTTCGCCATATCCCCTTCCTTTTCTTTTGTTTTGAGATTCAAATCATATTATTCTATCATTATTTTTTTTCTTTCATTTCTATTATAACCCTTGAATTTAATAAATAGCGATTACTATCTCGAAAAAAAGATTTTCCTTCTTACCTATAGGTAACCATATTTGATCCAATCAAGTTGGATTTTATCATTTCTGTATCGGCAATTCAATATAGATTGATATATACCCCATATATATTTTTCTCTTCCTGCTGTTTTTACAAAACAGTTTTGATACTTAAACGGTCGATTTTTTTTCTTAACTTCCCTCTTTACGAACGAAAGCCGCAGAATGTCTGATTAGTTAGAAAGAATTAACTAATTAGGAATTGGAATGAAAGAAAAAAAGAAATGAAATTCTAGAGATCTAATTCTAGAGATCTATAGGATACAGAATATAGAAGTGTAACAAAAAGAATTTCCAATATCATGTAAATCCAAAATAGAAAATCCAATTTTACCGGCTAAAAGCTAAAAATAGTTAAGATTGACTATCGAATATACTAAATATTTCAATTGTGACAAAAAAATAGAAATTCTATATCGATATAGAAATCGTTATGTTCTATAATATTGAAATATTGAATATTTATTGGAAATTCGAGATTCTATTCTTTTCCATATTTATGGAGACACTATAATTCGACTATACTATAGTATATCGAATTCCTATGCCTAGACAATTTTGATTATGTAGGCCCGCTTAGCTCAGAGGTTAGAGCATCGCATTTGTAATGCGATGGTCATCGGTTCGATTCCGATAGCCGGCTTTTTCCAATTTTTCTTTTTTTATTCAAATCTTGAAAAATGGATAATCTCCCTTTTCAATCAAAGAATATTAAAAAAGTGTCTTCCCTCTTTCCAAAATCCACGAATTTGTTCAGTTTAAGTTCTAGGAACTCCTAACTATGTAACGAAAAGGATCTTCTATTCTATATCTATATAATAATAATAGAAATTTCTATATAAATAGAAGAATATTTCT